GTTGTACGGAACGGCGTTCCTGGAACCCGTTCCTTTTAGGAGGAACGGAGGAACCCCGTCGTTCCATTTTGTGTCGGAGGAACTGGAATCGGAACTCGTTACATTTTTACGGGAGCGAAAAAAAAAAGAATTCGGCTTTCCTTTTATTTTTTATCCAGTGGGTTAATTTTTATATTGTTTCTAAGGGAAATCTAAAAAGTATCAAAATAATATATTTACGAAGAGAAGGATCTGCATAACTTTTTGGTTACTTATTCTAGGGTTTATTTTCTGGGGTCCTCGCTCGGCAACAGTCGGGCGCAGGCGAAGGTCATATATATATTCGTTTTCATCTCAAGAGCCGTAGTAAAAAAAGTCTGGCTCCTTGCGGAGCATTACTAATTTTCCTCTTTATGTGGATAATTAAGATATATGCAGGTAAATCTTAGATTAAATATACGTTTTTTTTTTTTTTTTTTTTTTTGTTACGACACACACGTTCCAAACGCCAAACACCTCCGCTTTTTCCTCCGACACCAAATCTCGTAGGAACTACTTCGCGCAGCGTATGAACACTGCGCAAAACTTGCTTTCTCTTGAGGTGGAAACGGGAGGCGGCACCTGTGCGCGCTCAGAGGCGCGCATTTAACCATGCCGCGAGCCCCCTCTCCTCTGTCTACCGCCTAAACCAGAGGGACCGTGTGTTAGTCAGAAAAGAAGCCGCCGCATGGCATGTCTAGCTGTCGGCGGGGCGCGTATTTTTTATATGCCTCAAAAAAGGCCAACCGCGTTCACGCCGTTTCGAGGCGACAGACTCAGGCGGCTCATTACAAGGCGACACGAGCGGTGCGGCGGACGATATTTGGCGGTGAACAACAGTGAGGTTTGGCGGCGAATACAAACCGCAACACCGCGCTATAGAAGAAGAAGTAGAATACAACTTTATTGTCCCAGCACTGTCAGTGGGGTGACGGGTGCAGCCGTCTCATCCACCGCAGTCCTAGAAGACGGCCGAGATCTCCTGGACCTCGGCGGCTTCTTCGGCTAGCCGGGTGGCCCAGACCTGATCTTGTGGGTCTGAGCTGAGTAGTAGGGCCTCCCAATGCTCGCGGTCTTGGATTTTGCGGCCATCAATGGTCGGTGCCGCCTGAGAGCATGCCCATAAGATATGTGGCAGATCCGCCTTATTCTTACAGAATTTACACGTATTTTTAAACTGTCCCGGGTAGAACCGGCTACAGGCCACTGGGTTCGGGTACATGTTGGTTTGGAGAAGGCGCCAGGCCACTGCCTGCTTCTTAGTTAGTTCAGGTTGAGCCGGTGGGTACCGGGCCCGTCCCAGTCGATAGTGATTCGTAATTTCTCGATAGGTAAACATGCGGTCTCCTCGCGTTCCCGGTTGGGCGGGCTCACTGGCTCGGCGTGTAAGACCTCGAGCTACTGTGTGAGCCGCCTCGTTGCCTGGAAGCGAGGAGTGCGCGGGTGCCCAAATAATTTGGATCGTCCCGCGTTGCCGCTGTTGGTGATGGTCACCGTACGTTCTTAAAATTTTGAGCGCCTCTGACGAGACGCGCCCCTTCGCGAAATTTTGAATGGCGATCTTCGAGTCGCTTATAATAATTCTAGCTTTGGTGGAGGCCACCGCTAGTGCGATGGCCGCCTCCTCCGCTGTCTCGGGGTTGTCCGTCGCCACGGTCCCGCTTACGAGGGGCTCCCCGTCCGCGCCCACCGCTACGACGGACATGCCCTTGAAATTTCGATATTCTGCGGCATCTACATAAACAACGTCCTCGGCGTCTTGGTATATTCGTTCCATGTTGCGAGCCCTTGCCTCCCGTCTCTCCTTATGGTATTCCGGGTGCATGTTCTTGGGCAGCGGAGGGATTTTGAGGTCCCTCCTGATACTCTTTGGTATGTCTCCCTTAGCTCCGTTTTGTGATTCGTAGTGGATGTCAAGTTTCTTCAGAATGTGCCGCCCCGTGGGGCTCTGCGTTAGTCTGTCATATTGTGCAATGGTGTGCGCTTCTACAAGTTCATCTAAAGTGTTATGTAGCCCTAACTCTAAGAGCTTGTTGTTGGGTGTTGTGATGGGGACGCCAATTGCTTGCTTGTAAGCCCTTCGTATCAGTCCTTCCATTTTGCGCTTTTCGGCGACCCCGAATACTAGATACGGCGCCACATAGACGACTCGGCTAATGATGAAGGCCTGCACTAAGCGAATTAGGCCGGCCTCCCTCATGCCGTAACGCCTATTGGCAATTCTTTTGATCAGCCTAATTGTTTGTTGTGTGCTATTTTCCAGCGCCTTTAGTGTTTCGTTGTTTCTGCCCTCCGCATGCACCCGGAGTCCTAGCACCTTGATTTGATCCACGATGGGGATCGCATCCCCGTTCGCTTTTATAGTAATGCTTGGTGCCCCTCCGTACTGTTTTCTAGTGGTGGGATACACCAACAGGAGCTCTGATTTCTGCGGCGAGCAACTGAGCCCCCTTTCCGTCGCGTAGTGATCGACTGCCTCCGCTGCTCGCTGTAGCGTTTCTTCTATTTGAGCCTCACTGCCGCTTGTCACCCATAGGGTAACATCGTCAGCGTAGAGACTGTGGTTGAGGCCCTTGATCTTATCTAGGATTTTCGGCAAGCCGATCATTGCTACGTTGAACAGAAAGGGAGACAGGACCGAACCCTGCGGTGTACCCCTGCTGCCTAGCTCTATTTCTTCGGATTTTATGTCTCCTATCGAGAGTTTGGCCGTGCGGTTCGAGAGAAAGTCCCGAACGTAGGTGTAGGCTTTGCAACCTACCCCCAGGTCCCGAAGGTTCTCCAGAACCGCCTTGTGTGTAACGTTGTCGAAGGCCTTGGTGAGGTCCAAGCCCAGGATGGCTTTCAGCCCTGCTGTCCTGCCCCGGGCGTCGAGTATTTGGTGTTTGATTTGGAGCATTACGTCCTGCGTCGAGAGATGCGGTCTGAACCCAGTCATTGTGTGTGGATACAGTCCCCGGTCTTCCATGTGGTTGTTTAGTCTCGTGAGAACGACGTCTCCATCAGTTTCCCCACGCAGGAAGTCAGGGAAATGGGCCGGAGGTTCTCGATCTGTAGTTTCTTGCCGGGTTTGGGGATCATGACCACTTGCGCAGTCTTCCACAGCAGCGGTATTTCACCCCGCTCCCAGCACTCGTTCATGTATCTCGTAATTGCTTCAATCGACTCGTCGTTCAGGTTTCTGAGTGTCTTGTTGGTGATGCCATCTGGGCCCGGCGCGGACTTTGTGCGTAGTCGGAGTATCTCAGCCCTCACCTCGGCCTCCGTGATCTCCTCGTCTAGCGTGGGGTTGTCTTTACCCGTGTAGTCTTCTTGAGTTTCCCTCGTTGTAGTGCCTATGTACCTCTTCTGCTTCTCGTGTAAGAGTTCCTCGTCTGTACCGTTGTACGTGTGCGTGATCTTGTTGAGATTCTGCCTCTGTAACGCCTTGCTACTGTCGGGGTCTAAGAGACAGCGAAGTAGGTTCCACGCCTTGCGCAGCCCCAGTTGGCCCTCCATGCTGCTGCATGTGGACTCCCATTGTTGACGGGCCAGGCGGTTGGCGTGGTTCTCGATGTCTCTGTCGAGCCTTGCTATTCTTCTCCGCAGGTTTCGATTCAGCCTCTGGCCTCTCCACTTTTCCTGTAGGCTGTCACGAGCCTCCCACAGATGGAGGAGTTTGCTGTCGGCTGTTTCTAGTCCAGCTTCCTCAGGGATCTCTTTCGTGGCCTGTTTGACAGCTCTGTGTAGCTGCGCTGTCCATCGCTCTATGTCTGTAATTGTAGTAGCGTATGTGATACTGTTTCGTGCTTCTTCGTGTTCGTCTTCGTGATCGCTTTCGCGCTCGCTCCCTTGTATCTGTCTGAAAGTGTCCCATTCTACCATCGTGAGTTTTCTGCCCCGTTTCTTTGTTGGTCCCGTATTGAGTGTCGTAGCAATAATAAAGTGATCGCTGCCCAGGTCCTTCTGCGTGTTGACCCACTTAGGGTCCGGTGCGTTCTTTGTGAAAGTGAGGTCCGGTGTCGTGTCTATGCTCACGCTGTTACCCGTGCGCGTGGGCTGTTGGGGATCGGTGACAAGGGTTAGTCCAACGTGCTGCGCGTCCGCCCAAAGGCTCCGTCCTTTAACGGAGCCCCTTCGGTAGCCCCATGCGGGGTGCGGCGCGTTAAAGTCCCCAACGACCACCACCGTGTTTCTCTTGGCAATATCTAGTGTTTTGCGAAGTAGGGGCCCGAACCGCTGTCGCTGTTTTAGAGAGCTGTATAGATTTAGGACAAAGAGGCTGCCTTCCTTTTTACTTGATGGTATTATTTCTAAGAGGACGTGCTCAACGTTTGTTACCGTGGTTTCGTGCTGTATCACCGCTAACTTTCTCCTTACCAGGGTTACAACTAGCGTTTCGCTTTTGCCTCCGTCAGAGGCTGCGGCATATGATTTGTACCCTGTTAATTTTGCAAGTCCCATCGTCTCCTGCAAGGCGATGACATCTGGCGCCTCCTCCTTTTTATCGTTACTGTAAGAATTTTGGAGGAACTGCTGAAGGTTTCCCCGTTTCCGGCGAAACCCGCGGCAGTTCCACTGCCAAATTGTGTACTCTGTATTTTTGCTGTTCGGGGCCATATCTAGTTGCTATGTGCTGGTCCTCCTGTGGCCTTGCTGTTGTCACTGCTACTCTCCGCGGCAACGGGCCTTTGGTAAGGTTTTGTGCTCTTAATTGGTCCCGCCGCTGCGGGACGGCTCTCCGCGAGTGTACTTTCGATGGCTGTAGTTCTAAGTTCAATTCTGTCCATGCGCTGTCCGAGTAGCTCTATCTTTGAGTTAAGTGCATCGAATTGCGCTTTTACGAGCTCCGTTAGACTTTCTAGTAGTTCGTCTCTTGGTTGCGGGTTTTCCTCGGCTTTCCGCTTTTGCGGCGGTGCCGTCACCACCGGGCCTTCCGCAGCAACCGAGGCTATTTGCGCATGTGGGAGGGGGGGCGGTGTTGGTGTCCTCCCGCTGGTAATTCACGGTGTGCGGCTCCTGCCTTTTACTTTCTCTGTCTTTAATTGAGCGATTTCTGCTTTAAGATTCCTGTTCTCTCTTAACACCTGATTCAACACGGACTGAATTTGGGCTAGCTGTAGTTCTAGGGCGGATCTGCCACTGTCCTTATGTTGAGGCTTAGGGGGCAGGGAGACCCTATCTGCCCAGCTCACCTGTTGTTGTTGGTCTGGCTGCGGGCCTGGTCCCGGCTGCCGTTGTTGGTGGTTCTGTCGTGGCTGTGGTGGCGGCAGTCGCTTTTCCGAAGTTTGTCGGACTCTTGGGGTCGACCTAGATCTTGACCGGGAACGGTCTGCTCTGGGTTGGGAGCGGGAGCGGTGGTTGGTGTCTATGGGCGGGAAATCACCTGGTTGAGGGAGTGATTGCTGTGCCATGCGTTGTTCCCAGAGGCGTTTCCGGATGACGTATGGCGTTTTGTATTTGGCCGTGCACCCTTTGTCCGCCGTGGGGTGGGGTCCACCGCACAGCGTGCACTTGGGGGTGCACTGATGATCTTGTTCAGGATTGCGGGCGCCGCAGCCCCTGCAGATCTTGTTGTTGGGGAATGGACAAACGTCCATGCGGTGCCCGAGACGGCCACAGTGGTAACATATGTCGATTTGCTTTCGGTACAAGCAGCAGGGGATCAGTGTTGCGCCGTATCGGACCAAGTGCGGAACACTGGGTCCGTCGAAGGCGATTACGATGGTCGTGGTGGAACCGATGCGCTTGGCGGCCAGGGCTAATGGATTGCGGGCATTTATGATGTTCGCGTCGATTTCCTGGGCGCTATCGGTGAGGGGAATACCTCGGATAACTCCCTTGGTAGTGTTGTCCGGGGCTGCCTCGTATGCGTTGACTTCGTGGGTGACACCATTGACGTGGATAGATTTCATGCGCACGTACCTGTCAGCATTGTGCGGTCGGGGCGTGCTGATCACGACGATGTTTTGTTGAACGTTCGGGCAGATCGTGTCGTCTTGGCTTTCTTCCGGGCTAAGTTGTGTTGCTTGGAAAATAGCTGCCGTCACTGTGGGGCTGCCGACTTTGGGGATATTTAGCGCCCCTTTAGGTCTCACAATGATCTTAATTTCGTTCTTGGGTAATTGGGGCATACGTCCGGCCTTGAGGACTTGAGATTTAACGTTCTTCCTGGTTTTAGAGCGAGAGCGGGAGTCTTGCGATTGGGGCGGGTCGTCGTGAGATGAGTTTTGGCCAGGTTTCTTGTCGGGACGGCGGGAACGGGCGGTGCGCCAGCCCATTTCGGCGGTCACCTCTTCTGGTGTGATGTCCTCACCGATTACTTGAACTTCCATTTTCCGCTGGTTGAGTTAGGAGCCTGCACGTCGATGAGGAGCGCGCGCAGAAACGCGCCACTTGGCCGTCCACAGTACCGAGAAAATCCGGACCTGGTGAGGTTCTCGGAGTTTTCAAGCTTCTCGGCGAGGCAAAATCGGGGACCAGGGCGTGCCTCGCGCCAAGCCGGGAGGTCGGCCGGCTGCGCCGAGCGCCGGCTCGATGTTTACGCTTGGATCACGTTCTCGTTCTTGCGGAGTTCTCGGAGCCCGGGGAAAGTCGACTGCTCGGCTCGGAGGTTGGAACAAGACTCCGCGCGATAGAGCGCTAAAAACGTCGGGCCCCGTGAACAATAATCCCTGTGTAGAAGCACAACGAGAAACAGTGGCGTCGGTTCCCGATAGAGAACCGTAACCGGCAAGCCAGCAAGAAATCTCTCGAGGCGGCATCTCTCTACCGTGTAAACCAGAGGGATACGTGTGTTACTTGGCAAAGGAGGCGCCTCCGTGGCATGGCGCCCGGTAACGTGGCGAGGACGCGCATTCTTGGGAAGGCATCACCAGAACTGATCGGAGCCTCCAAAACGTCTTCAACCAACTTAAAAAAAAAAGATGCCTAGGTAAGGTTTCACCTATTTTTATTTCATGCTCGGCAACTCTATGCAGTTCTCCATTCCGTGTATAGCTTAATGGATTGTTATTTTACATTCATGTTACGTACCGTTTTCGCCAGTCTTAGCTTTTCAAACGCAAGTGCATTTTTAAAGTTGTCCTTGCGGAAGTGGTGTTGCCATAGGCTGTGCAGACTTTCTATTCACTTTTATAGAAGTTTCTTCTCGATAACATGATTACGTCACCGATTCATGAATTTATTTATTACCAAATCTATATAAATATGGGGGATACGAGGCGTGACGAAAATAATCCCTGGAGAAGGGGAACAAGAGCGACAAAGGACAAACACAAATCTCCGAACACAGCTACGTCACTGGTGCGCGACTGAAAAAATCAGCCATGGTCCGGCTATCGAACATGGGACCTCTCCATTACAGGTGGAGCGCTCTACCAACTGAGCTAACCAGGGGTTAGAGGTCAGTAGAGCAAATGGGTTTTATCATGCAGCCGCCACCAGTCTAACACCAACGAGGGTGAAGCTTCCAATTTAAGGTTATGATTATAATGCAATTAAATGCAAAGGTGCAAGCGAGCTGGACAAGAATGACGAAAATAATCCCTGGAGAAGGGGAACGAGAGGGACAAAGGGCAGACACAAAACTCCAAACACAGCTAGGCGACTGGTGCGCGACCGAAAAAATCCGCCTGGTCCGGGTATCGAACCCGAGACCTCACCATTACAGGTGAGGTCCCGGGTTCGGGACCTCACCTGTAGTGGTCAGTACGCACTGAAATTTAAGAGAGTACGTCGTGTTTTCGTTAGTTTATATAAAACAATTGTGAGCCATTCTACTCTTTGAAGGTGGTTTCCGAGCGAAGCTGTAGAGCACCACCACAAATGATTCACCTAGAGACACATAAAAGCACTTCACCAAATGTTTATTTACAGTATTTATACATCATTTTGAAACGGTAGTGATGATTGCATTGGTGAACACTATGATATACACGAATGGGTTTCATTACAACTTTTGTGATATTCTCTGCTAAAGTTAAATCTATATATATAATGCTTTACATATGTAAAAGTTGCTGCTTTTGTGTATGTAAAGCAGTGACGTCACCCGGTTCGAGCGGGAAAGGAACCATTGTTTTTGGATGTATCTCCATTATCACGCGTTTCGACGCCTTTCATTACCAAAATGCGTATCGAGGTGACGGGGTCACTGGCGTATATTCATTCCCATTCAATGGAGCGCTCTTACATGCAAGTTCGGACTTTTGTTTTTGCACACGAATATCAGAAATGCATGAAACTCTAGCGATATACAGCTTCGCTGTAAAAGTTGCCGCCTATGGCGAATTCCAGACAAAAGCTCACCGGACAGAAGCTCACCGGACGAAAACTCACCGGACAAAAGTTCACCCATTTTTTCGCAGACGCAGACAAAAGCTCACCAGGAGAAAATTTCATGTTCGTCTTAACACTTGCGCGGACAACTTAGGTGCATGCGTACGACACTAAAATACAAGGATAAATTAAATTAAAGAAAACCCACGCATTCGTAATAAAGAGACATTAGGGAGTTTTAGAATAGCGCACGCTAAAGCTTTGCATACGCAAAGAATAGCGTCGTCGCCACTGCGCATGCTCCGAACGCAAACCAGGTTTTGCGCTTTGCGTGCGCTATTTTAGCGTGCGCTATTTCTCGGAAATAGTGTGCGTACGGAAAGGGTGTTTGCGCTTCTCCAAGGAGGATTCGTGATGAGAAGTTGGCTAAAGCCAAGACGAGCAGAGTTAAAAAATGGCGGCTTCCAGGATTATGTCGGCGGCTGCTTTGGAAGCGTCGTGAGTGCGACGTCGGCGGCATCCTCGCGACCACGATTTTCAATACGGGACGACATTGTACTCGGTTTGGCAACGATTACCGGCAACTTGATGCTTGCGACGCACGAACATTTCTCGACGAAGGTACGATGTGCGAAGGTCAGTACACGAGACCTCTCTTGCCGAGACGACGCAAGCGGACACGACCGGTCAACCGCTCGCGTCGCATTCTCATGTGTAAACAAATCTAAAACAGTACTCTGAACAAAAAAAACTTGTTTGTTTCTAAAGTTACAGCATTTCATGTGTGAAATAAAAATTGTGATTGTATCTTGGTGGCGTCGCAGGCGCGAGCTGCTTGGGCTTTTGCGTCGCGACGTAGAAACGCTATTCTAAAACTCTCTTGCGTCGCGTGCGCTAATACAAGCGCTAAATTTAGCGCTAGCGTGCGCTAAAATTGCGTACGTTATTCTAAAACTCCCTATTGTGCCTAATCTTTATGCGCGCGTTTAGCGTGACATAAGCGTAATGAAAAAGCGAGGTCAAGAAAGGATGACTTCGTTTCTTCGGTCACTCTTCGGGTTCAAAAATTTCGGTTCACGAAGTTTCTTGGGCGTGGCACACGGGTGCTCCGACATACCTTAAGTCAAGCAAGCTTGATCTTATCAGCTCCATTCAGTTTCAGTTACCTAAATGTTGGTCCCAAAGCGTTGCTTCTCTGCCTGTAATGGCTTATCTGTCGACACCTTTGCATCGGATGGGATGCCAGTTCTCATAAAAATGGTGGAATGTCCATCGCGTCCGTACTTCATCCCAGCCCGTGTTTCACCCGGGGTAGCAAAAAAAAATGAGGTGAGCTTTTGTCCGGGTCAGGGAAAAAACGGGTGAGCTTTTGTCTGGTGAGCTTTTGTTCGGTGAGCTTCTGTCCGGTGAGCTTTTGTCCGGTGAGCTTTTGTCCGGTTACCGCCTATGACAGTTTGTTCGTTTGTTTCGAGGTAGGCCTACCCGGCGAACGACGTCCGTGCTTTCATAACGTACCGCGCTATGGCGCTACCGACGTCACAATAGATACTGGCTGCAAGCAGAAAACACATGCGACTTGCTTTCACCGCTCTCATTTTTAAATACTTTCAGCAGAAATTATGTTTTACCTCTCGATAAAGAACAGGACTGAAGTACACGAACCACTTCCGTCTCACGGTGAACTGAGCAAGCACTCTGCCATAGACAAAAACAATAGTTCTTTCATGAAATTGAAGATCCCCGTGTGGCTCGCTTACATCTCCCTACGTAAAAGTGACCATTAAAATTTGTGCTTAAGCGAAAAGTGGCCACTTACCCCGAAGAGTGTTCATCCGTTAGGTTCCCTTTATATGAGCTTCCCATTGGCTCGAACGATTATTGATGCTTTGAATGGGAGGAAGAGAGGTGCCAATCATTGTTCCGGTGACACCGATTACTTGAGGAACACTGAAATGAGTCTCCCTCTCATTATTATTTCAAGCAAAAATAATTGTTATGGCATGTGGTTTATTCAGTTTCTTAATAATAGGTTTGTTGCTTTGCAGTCGGCGAAGATATGACTGATTTAGTAAGGGCATGGAGATTTAAAGGCTATGATGTGCTTCCAAAACTGTTTTGTTTTTATTTTCTATCCATTTTTATTATACCACTTCCAACAACAGTAGCTTAGCTGTAAATAATTGTCTGTGTTATAATCACAGTTAAAAAAGTTTTATAGCACTTTGAGGAACTTAAGGGTTTTCTTTATTATTTGCATCACGGTTAACAAGGAGATAGACCGGAATCACCTGTTCTAAAAGCTCAAATGTGGGCTACAAAACCCCCATGTTTTTGCTACGAAAGCTGCTACAAGCAGTTTTTTGTAAGTTTCACCACTGATGATTTAATTTAGCCTGTTAAAACACGGAAACATTATCCACATGTGCTTCTCCTGGAAACATTATCAAATAATGATATGATTTGAAGTTGAACTGCATCACTGTCTACTTTTAGAATACAACACACACCATCAATATTGCACTCGGACAAGCTTCCCGCAAAGCCCATCATCATCGACCGGTGTAAGAAGGAGTGTCTACTTTTGTAGACACTCCTGCTTACTCAACTTTTCTCAATCTTATATGTTCACAAATTTGGTTCCCTCCATTTTCAGTTACATATGAGTGGCTCATATAAAAAGATTGTAAAAAATGTAATTTTCACAAAGGAAAAAAAAAGAAAACGACGGAAGTGAAATTTTATTTCGAAGTTCACAGTTCCCCATCAGCCTCTCTGGTTTATTTCTATGGTACGTACTACACAACAAGTAAACAAGTAGTCACCTGGCCCCACCTATAGGTTATGGGAATCATAAGGATGCTTGCCATTGTTTATTGGTTGAACGTAATCAAGATCATTTGTTTAACAAAGAAATGGAACGCATGTGGAAGCAGTTGTCGTTGTCACGAGCCAGAATTTTACCATCTTCCAGATATCCTCGTAATTCTATCATAACAATGACATGCAACTGCAACAGGTAAATGTACTGCCAAGTGCTCACACGACACCGAAGGCTATCGTTTATATACTTCC